GAAGTTACTGATGGGGGCCTTCGGCGGTAGAGCGACTTCGGCGGCACACGTTCGGCGGAAGAACCGCCGGAAGATGCGCCTTCGGCGGTAGACGCCTTCGGGGCAAGGGCCTTCACAAAGTGCCTTCGGCGGTACGTCTTCGGCGGAAGAGTGAATCTCTCATAACTTTCTCAATTCACAACGCCTTGACTTGGTTAGGGTCTTGTTGGAAAGAGCTCGACACGCTCATTCTAATGAGCCCAAGAACGCCTGGAACAGATGAGGACTCAGGGAGTTGTGACTGTCGGAAGATGCAAAGACGAGCGCCTACGCATAGGCGGAAGGAGTTCGTCGTCGGCGGGAAGTCCGCCGGGAATTCCGCCTACGCATAGGCGGAAAAAATTCACCTACGCGTAGGCACTTCGCCATCGGCGGAATATCCGCCTTCGGCCCTAGATGTTCGCCTTCGGCGACGGACGTCTTCATGTCAACGCCTTCGGCGATGCGGGAGAGTGCATTCGGCGGAAGAGTGAAACCCTTATAACATTCTCAATTCGTAATGCCTTGACTTGGTTAGGGTCTCGTTGGAAAGAATTTGACGCGCTGGTTCTAACGAGCCCAAGAACGCTTCGAACGGATAAGAGATCAATGAATTATGAGTGTCGGAAGTTACAAATAGAGGGCCTTCGGGGCAAGGGCCTTCGGCGATTCTTTCGGTGCCACGTGGCAGAAAATTCCCGATGACAGAAGTTGGCGGGATGTGAGCACAAAACTGTGCTTGCATGTCTTTTTACCCTTATGAGAGTTAAAATTTTGGATTTAAGCTCTTGCAAAATTATGCTTAGGGTTTTTTGAAAGTTTCTGCAAGATTAGGAGTTGGTGTGATGGTTAGGGGGCAAGAGGTGCGGAAGGAGGCCTTCAGGGCAAGGTCTTCGGCGAAATGCCTTCGGTGAAGTCCCTTCGGGAAAAGGCCTTCGGCGAAGAAGTGAAACTCTCATAACGTTTTCAATGTGTAACGCCTTGACTCAGTTAGGGTTTTGTTGGAAAGAACTCGCGACGCTCGTTCCAACAAGACCAAGAACTCTTGAAACGAATAAGACATCACCGAGTAAGGAGCGGCGGAAGTTTCTGATATGGAGGGCCTTCGGCGGCCTGCGCATAGGCGTGTTGCGCGTAGGCAGCCTACGCATAGGCGGAAGTGTAAAACCGTGATAACGTTTTCAATTCTTAACGGTTTGCATTAGTTAGGGTCTCGTTGGAAAGCGCTCGACACGCTTGTTCTAACGAGCCCAATGACGCCTGGAACGGATGGGAACTGATGGAGTTATGACTATCGGAAGATACGTAGACGTTCGCCTTCGGCGGAAGGAGTTCGCCTCCAGCGGGAAATCCGCCTTCGGCCCTAGATGTTCGCCTTCGTCGGAAGCGCCTTCAGCGGTTGCAGGCCTTCGGCGAAGCAGTAAAACCGGCATATCTTTTTCAATTCTTAGCGATTTGACTTGATTCGGGTCTCGTTGGAAAGAACTCGACGCGCTGGTTCCAACGGGACCAAGATCTCTTGAAACGGATCAGTCATCACTGAGTTATGAGCGTTGAAAGCGGCTGTCATGGTTAGGCGAGAGGTCTTCGGCGTTAATAGTTAGAGGGGCCTTCGGCACAAGGGGCTGCGTGTAGGACGCCTGCGAATAGGCGCGCTGCGTGTAGGATGCGTGTGCGTAGGTGGCCTGCGCATAGGCAAACGCCTTTGGCGGAAGAGTAATACCGTCATAACTTTCTCAATCCTTAACGGTTTGACTTAGTTAGGGGCTCGTTGGAAAAAGCTCGACGCGCTCGTTCCAACGAGCCCAAGAACAGTTCAAACAAAGCACGGATCTGTGAGTTATGAGCGTCGGGGTGACTCTTATAGATAGGCAAAGGTGCGGAAGAGTGTCTTCGGCGGGGGATGCCTTTGGCGGTGCGCGGATGAAAGATTTCAGACGGCGGATGTTGACGTGGTCATAAATAAAGACTGTATAGGTGTGGTTGTGGCGGCGGCGTGAAATCAAGCGTGGAATAAGACGGCGGGGCATGAAGTCGCACATGGGAACCAAGCCGTTGGCCATCATCGCGGGAACGGCATTCACGCGGCCTGTGGGTGACTCGGCCCTTGGACGTTGGAGAGGATTATTCGGCTTGCGAGCTGAGATTGTGTGGTGTGCCATGGTGTGGAGACGCTGGTGGGATCGGTAGGAGGATAGAGTGTGGACGTGAGTGATTTTCGTAGGGAAGTGGTGAGAATTAGGAGGGGAGTGTGAAGAGTTCGAAGTAGGAGGAAGCAAACTCTCGTGGGTGGAGGGTCGTATCGGAGAGTGCAATTAGAGTGGGATCTGAGATTGAAGTGTAATTTGTGAGTGGGATCTGAGATTGAAGTGTAAAATCTGTAAGTGGGATCTGAGATTGAAGTGTAAAATCTGTAAGTGGGATCTGAGATCAAAGTGAAGGTTCTGAGAGTGGGAGTTGAAATCGAAGTGAAATCTAAGACTGAGATGTGACAGTCGAGATCTGAATTCGAAACTGAAAAGTGAGAATTAAATCTGAGAGAAAAATCTGGTGGGACCTGAAGGTGGAAATTGAGAAATCGACACTGAAATCTGAGTAGGAAGTGGGAGTGGGACTGAAATCGAAGGTGGGAACTGAGGGTGTGAGACTGAAATCTGATACTCGAAATTGTGGGTGGAATCTGATTGGAGTGTGAGATCCCTGAGGGCAAGGGTGTTGAAAGCGTGGAGTTGCTGAGAGTGTAGCCGGAGGGCTGAGCGGAAGAGTGTGTGTGACGGCCAAGAGGATCGCTGGGCTAAGACTGAGTTGATCACTAGGAGGAAGAATCGAGCAAGTGTTGAGAATATGAAAAACTTAGTATTTGGATGAATAATTTAAATCAGTTCTATTGAAACTTGAATTGAGTATGAAAATTACAGTTTAAAGTATTGAAAAAAAATTAAGAGTGTAAAACTCATTATGTGTTTAAAAATGTAAAAAACTATGAGAAAATGAACCAAATTATTTTTTATTTTATGAATTAATTTATATAGTAATTAATTTATTTTATATTAAAAAAAGTCCAAAGAAATTCAAAGTTAAAACTAAATTAATTGCAAGGTTAAACATGTTAACATTTGTAATAAAAAAACGTACAAGACTAGCTATGTAGTTGATTTTCATGGAGAGCAAACAAACTAAAGTAGGCATACAATTATGTGAATTAGCTAGGAGTGCAAAAAAAAAGCTTGTGTATAGATATGATTGATCTATCCTAATACTCAAACTAAATGCGACATGATAAAATATTTTGGAAGTTAAAATACTAATATAACAGTTCGCAATTTGATTGCATGGAATTCAAAATTACAAAAGAAATTGAAACAAATTGTGAGATTTCTAAGGATCAAAAAAAAAAAATCCAAGTCAAAATCTCACATGAAATATGAAAAAATTTGTGTAATAGTATGGTTTTGATTTAAAACTTTATACTAATGTTTTCAAATTTGGAGTAAAAGTTCATGAACATAGAGATTAAAATATATTTCTTCTAGAAACTTTTTATCAATGCAATGTCCAAAATATTGACTTTAAAACTAGTAATGGGTTTAGGGTGATCAGTCTAGATGATAATTGAAACATAATTGTTGATAAGATTGATTAAAAAAAGTCATGATTAATTGATAAGCTAGACGTGTACAAAATATTAACGTTCGATCTCATTGAAAGAAAAAACAACATTCAATTTGATTATTGAAAAATGGAAAAAAATGTCTGTATTTCATAATTGACAACGAAATGTGAATTTTTTATCATAAAAAATTATCCAATGCCATCTAGTTGATTATCATTGTCATCATTAGAATTTTTTTTGATCAAATATTATTTTTTTGAATAGTAAATTAATAATCAATGTTGGTATTCATCTAAATTTGATGAAATGAAGTTGATCTTAATATACAATGATACAATCTCAACACAACTTAGCAAAAATTGAACATTTAAAAACTTCAAATGAATCAATACCATGCATCTGTTTTTATCTATATTATTGCAAATTATTAAATTTTTGATATTAATCTTAATCATTATGATCAATCAATGAAGACTTTATAAAATAATTGAAATATAACCTCCAATCAAGTTTGAATAAATATATTTATTGTGATAAAAAATTTGTTTCAGCAGTAAAATTAATTCTTTGTGGAATGCATGAGAATATTCATGAATGTAGTTATGAGTGAAGATTGTGTATAAATTTGTGCTGAATAATGATAACTACTTTAGAATAATTAAAAGGAAGTCTAATGAAAATCAAACATTAATTCACATCCCAAGAAACATTCAATATGTAGATTTGTGATTGTTATTTCAGTGATATGTTATATATTTAAAAAAATTCAATATAAATATTTACATGACTATCCAGTGGTTATGGCAGTAAAATTTGAATAGCAATATAAGATGTTTACATGAATAAAATGCGGCATTACTCATCCACTTGCTCGTTTGATTTATATCCACAGCCTTTTGGAAATTGCTGCCTATTGCAACTTCCAATTCCAAGTGCGACTTTACTTCCTGACTGCCCCGGGCGTCCACAGGTCAACGTGGACTGTCATGGACGGCATATTCTTACCTCCGTTACCTCTGTTACCGCATGTGGAATGTTGTGTCCTGGCACCTTGATGACACCTGGTATTGGTGTACCAGGTGAGTTTCACACGTGACATCTCGGAGTGCCTGGAATTCTGCCTCCATAATCCGTCCTGCCAACGTTTCTATCATAATTTGATGATTGCACCCACAATTGTCCTGACACCGTGACGACTAGATGTGAAAGGTAAAACGTTCAGGCGAGCCGAAGATCAAGGAATGCACCTTTACGTTGGTGAAACACTTACATCAGAACCAATCGCTGCGGAGTTTTGCGAAAGCATGCAATGTTTGCATGCTCCCTGGGACAATAGTGTTGATCTATCGTAATGCCTGGACAAGGTAGTGATACGCTCCAATAAAATGTGCATTGCGCAATTTTAACATACGAAATATCTCGGGAAAATGTGTTACATGCAGAACATTCGAGAAACGTAAGGACTTTTGATTGCTATCATCTCGATAGTAGCAATGGGCATGGAGTAATTCAATTTTCCTTCTTGCAGTAGATATGTTCGACTTACCTAAACGAGTCCGCCTTCTACTTAGTACAGAGCACCGAGTAAGATGATTGCTATGGACTGTACCCTTCAGTAGATCAGCTTTTCGTGGTACTTGATCTCATGTACTGTATTGTGCAGAGACAGAGACGAATCATTTTATTGTCCATATTTTATCATTTTATCACAAGAATAGTCGTATGAACTAGGCAAAAGTATTATGTTATAGTTTTGAGACAGAGAACAGTCTATAATCGCACATGGATTCAGTCTGTTGCACAGTGGCTCCATCGACTTCACAGGCTGGCTGTGCCGGGAATGAGTTCTACGAGATCACCGAAAGCTTTACTCCTTGCTCCGCCATCTGCTGCAGCTGCGTCAGCCACTCTCTTCAGCTCCTGAAGTCTCGATCTACATGCCGAACCCTCTTCCGACATGATCAATCGTATTGCCCTTCCCAGTTCCGCATGTCCGACGATTTTATTTTGACGCGGAACCACCACACGACCTTCGATGTAGACAGGCTCGCAATCATATTTATCAGCTCCTACTTCAACTGCAATTTTCAGAAAATCCACAATGTGCCTCGTGATTATGCCTTGATCGTTAGGGAGCCGAGGCCAAGCTATCATTGGCACTCCGACACAGACGGCTTCTAGTACCGAATTCCAGCCGGAGTGCGTGATGAAGGCTCCTATGGACGAGTGCGATAAAAGCTCCAACTGTGGCACCCACCCACATTGAACAATCCCTCTGCCCTTCATCCGTTCTTCAAAACCTGGAGGAAGAAGATCTTGCAGGCTTGGGTATTCAGGAGTAGGACGAAAGTCAAAAGCCCACAGAAACGGGTGCCCACTGTCTTCCAGAGCTTGACTAATCTCCCGTGCCTGTTCCGGATCGACATATTTTCCTGCGATGCTGCCAAAGCACATGTAAATCACCGACTCAGGTGCTTGACTATCGAGCCACAGCGACAAGCTGGGTTCCAGGGTAGGCTCCTTCCCGACGGCGGGGCTTGAAATAGGCCCAACACAGAACACCTTAACGGGCTTCCAGGGCCTGTTCGCTATCCGATACCGCTGGATGGCCTCGATAATTGGCGCTTCAAACTCGTAAAACGTATTCATGATTAGAGCATCCGTTTGTTGAACAACTTCACCCATACCTATCACGGCCTCCACCCCGAATAAAGCCTCAAACATATCTGAAAACCGCAATGGTGGAAAGCCATCTATTTCCACCGCACCGTCGAACTTTGACAGCGAGTTTATAGGCCTCCCCGGTATAGTAGCCCTGGGTTTACACAAAGCTGGACACGAGGTGAGAGTTCCATCAGCAAATAGCGGCGGGAACATTTGCAGCATTCGGGCGAAATTTGCTCCGCAGCTGTAAAACATGTAATGAGGAATTCCTAACAATCTCGCAGCTTCCAGAGGGGTTGCCAGTAACCTGTCAGCAATGATGCAGGTAGGGCCAGGCTTTCCGGCCTGCTTATCCCTCATGAAGATGTCCAGAACTGGCTGAAAAATTTCCTTTGCATTCATAACGAAGTCGAACATGTCAAAGTTGGGACTGGAGAGGATTTGCTTCGAGGATGGAAATTCGTCGAAGGAGATCAGACGGAGGTCTAACCCCTTCGCCTGTTCGTTCCTGAACTTCGGCAAGTCCATCTCCTCACCCACGTAAGTGACTGTGACACCTCGTTGAGCCAATTCGACGGCAAGCTTCACCATGCCGGCGATGTGCGCGTGCAACGACACTGCCAAAAGCAGAACATGTTTTTTCAAGCTCTTGGGGCCCTCAGTGCTGGAATCGACGCCCATAATGACGGCGGGCAATGTCGTGCAATCGGTCGAGGAAATTGTGACGTGAAGCTGCCGATTCTACTCTAGCCTACCTTCTCCGACGAGCAGACGTCTGCCTGTAGTGAACGTGCATCTGAGAACGCTCGTCTTCAATAAGTAGTAGCGTCAGAGTAGCTCGGGGTAGGCCATTCCTAAGCCTGTGAAAGCACCTTGTAAGCTGCAACTAAATCTCCCGTGTGCGTCTCACGTGCCGGGGAAGGTTAACTCAGGAGACCCGTCATCACATCCTCACATACATAACTTACACATACATACAATGTGTGTTGTATTCCATATTCAACCCCATTAAATTTTTTGTCTGAATCTCTAGTTATACCACACACCGAATCTCTCCAAAATTTGCCCATGCTTGTTGAAATAGATAGTATGCGAAACTTACCATACTTAGTTTTGAGTCAAGGTATCGGAACCTTTCTTCGAGGTTCACTAGACGATTTTATTACGAATGGCAAGTATTGCTTATGATGGTTTCATTCCGTTCCATTCAGTCCTATCCCTTGTTAACAATCTTTTCATGAGTTGAAAAGATATAACACTACAGTGGTGTATCTTACTACTTCATTTTATTTCGAAATAATGTTCCAACAAAAATTAAAATTAGACATTATATATATATATATATTTCATTCTAAATTGTTAGCATTCTGATTAATTAAATTTATAACTTTCATACCAACATGATGGACATATTATCAATCATCATATATAGTTTAAAGTTTAATATTTTATATGAATATATCATGACTGTAAATTGAATTTTTAATCAATGAATGTTTTAAGTAAAATCTATTTTATTTAGAAAACAGATGGAATTTCTTCTCTCATGTCGGTTACCGACAGGGTCTTCGAAGACCTTTAGCAGAAATGAAAATAATTCAAGAGCAAACCCTCCTCGGACAAGTAGTGGAGGAGAAACTACATAGTGAGACTATTGACCACTACTGTCAGGTATCTTTTCAAATACTGGCGACTTGTTAAGTAATTAAAGAAATATAGCCAAATAATCCACCTACTTCATCTTCGGCTCTATTAACTTACATCCATGATGATATTCTCTTCACTCATGTCAAAGCCTCGGGTTTTATTTCGGCCTGTGCGCTTGGCGGGACTCACATCAAGCTGTTTTAATCACACGACTTAATTTTGGGAAAACAACAATTGAGGATCATAAAATGATACCTTAATTTATTCGCTGTGGGTGACATAGACCTCGACCTGGCGACCTGTGGGTAGACGTCTCCACATGCTCCAAACTCTCTCTTGGACGTTCCCAGCAGTAATCGATGTCGTTGCTGTCGGTGCGACAGATGTCGACACAACACTTGTTGCCGGTGCTTAATCCGTGCTTTCATTTGACTTTTCTCTTCAAATCCGCTGACATTCACAGTAGTTTCTGGAGTGACTATTCAATTCGGTAGAATGTCTACTTCTCATTCAAACGCATATATATGTTTTAAAGCTGAGAATACCCTGAGATATGGTGGCCCCTTGTATCCTGTGGTCAAAACGTTCACGACAGTATTATTGAGAGCATGGTGTTCTCCACATGTTTTGCATTTGACATAAATTAAGCATAGCATACGAACAGGATTGGTAATTACAATTGCTGTCAGGCTGTTTTATGGAGAAAAAACATTTTTTGTTGAAGATGATACCATCATGGTAAAGTCCAAATGCAAGTAAGACCATCGATCAGTTTTTGTATTAGAATGAAATTGGAGTAGATTTTACTCAAGAAAAATCAATCATGAAAGCTCTTTCAAAGAAAAAAGGAGTGCTAATTCATGAATATGTGAAAACCAAGGCAAAAAGTATTGTATCATTTTTCTACCTTATCAAAATGCTCGGGAGAATAGAGTCATTATCTAACATCCAAGATATTTGAATGTTCTTCGAAAATTATGATGCATTTTTTATGAATAATACATATTTAATTTATTTAAAATACTTATATTCAATTAAGACAAGTTGAAACAAGTATTGCATATAGTCTAACAATAAGATCATAGAAAAGTAGACCAAGATGTGATGATTCGGATACACTTCTCAAAAAAAGTCCCGGGGCTATCGTTAAGCTAAATGTGGATTTAACCTTCTTGAAAGTTCATTCTTGAAAATAATACTTTTTTCATACATAACCCACATATATAACCTTGGTGAATTTTTTTACTTTCACACGTTTAATATTCTTGTTCATTATCATTTCTCATGAGTCAGCAGATCAATTTTTTGATTCGTGAAGATAAAATGATCCACATTGCCGAATGATCTCCTTGGACAATACCTCAAGGATTGAACAAGATTTTTGCAGCTCTCTTGAACACAAGCATATTTCGAATGAAGTGAAAGTAACGAAATTGTTGCAATTTTCTAATAAATTTATGTCAATTCTTATAGAAACATAAGCAAGTGATATGTATTGCGAAGATCAAAGATTCAGAAATTGGAAAATCTGAGGATTACATATCTCCGTAAGTAGTATATTTTTTGATATTTTAGTGATTTTTTATCATTATTTTAATGAATGACTACATATACATGTCATATATATTTACATTCTTCTTAACTCAATCTTTTTGATGTTAAAACTTCACTATATTTTTATGCTGGAGCAGTTTTATCATTTAATAAGATTTTTTAATTTTGAAAATTTAAGTGTAAAGTTTTGACTGCATAAATCAAGTGAGAAAAAACTTGGATGATTCAAGTTTCAGCTAGATTTTAAATAATCAAATGTTTGAAAAAATAACATTGAATCATCAATGTATATTATGTTAATAAGTAAATTATCATGTAAATCCTTGATAAATAGATTATTCATTCATAATATGTTATTACACTTGGGAGTTTATATTTTTACAATTTTTATACTAATAAATAAATAAATAAATAAATTCAAATCTTTTATTAATAAATGATAAAAATATTTTTATATATCAAAGCTTGAAATTATTTTTTTAAATCAAGTTATTTTTATTTTCTATTATTTTTAAAGAAAAAATGCCTTGAATTATTGCAAAAATACATAAATGTTTACATAAAGATGAAGTATATATAAAAAAATCACATACTTGTTGGTGTGAAGCATGAAAAATACCTGAATGATGTCAATCATTTTGACAATAACATTTGCTAGGATAATTAGGGCCCCCTGATGGAACCAAGCAAAGCATATCAGCACTAGATGTGTAGAAAATTGTTGCAGCAGTGCCATTCATTTCTCTCAATTTCAGACAATTACTTAACTGCACGTTGATAAATAATCAGCAGGTGGCGCGAATCAAAATTTTTGTCTACACTAGCCTCCAACGCTTGAGACAAATCACCACATTTTTTTCCTGGCAAGTGCCACAACTAGACTTTAAAGTCAAAACCGAGTAAGTACAGAAATTCTTCCATGTTCAAAGCTACATCTTCCATGTATGTAGCTCATGGAGTTTTAGGGTTATAGGCAATTCACTATGCAACAAATTTTTTCTTATGGGAGACAATGTACATTTGGCACCAAGAAAATGGACCTACTTCTTTGTAGAATTTAGTTTTTTCCCGAATGATTAATATTTTTTTTTGTTGAATAAAATTTTCTCACAATTATTAAATAAAAATATAGATATTTTATGAATATTAGTTAGAATATTTTTTCAGTATCTTTCAATTATGTTTTAATATTTTTTGTATTTTTTATTTTGTATATGAAAATAATTCTTTTAATCTTAAATTTATTGGAAAACTAATTTTATTATGATAATTTATTATTCAATATACTGTTACTACAATGTGTGATTTTTAACATGATAAAACTATTTTTTATAAAAAAAAAAAAAAATACATATATTTTTAAAATTTAATTAAAGATACTAAATTTTGGAGATTACAAATCAAAAAATAAGTTGAAATAAATCAAATTTTATGTATATCTCGCATCAAAATATGAATTACACCATAAAACCAAAGTATAATAAAAAATATGGATAGATACCAAAATATCATATCAATTTGAAGGCACAAAATTTTTTTACATGATAAAAAGATATTGTAGATTTTTTATAAAAAATATAATTAGAAAATATATGATAAACCCTGAAAATTTTATTGATATTAACTAAATAAAAAATATCATGTTAACAAACTAAAAACATAACAAATTTTTTTGTTGAAATGATGCAAAATTGATCATTAATTTATATTTGAATTCTAGCAAATCTTCATGATTGTTGCACTCAATAACCTACTTATGAAACATCTACATATGAAGTATAATTGCATATGAGTCGTTTTATATATTTTTAAAAAAATTATTACAACAATTTTATTTTTTTTACATGACCAACAAAAAAATTAATCACATTATTTCACAATTAAGCAATCTTAATTGATATAAAAGATTATGCAAAATTATTTTTGAATTTAAAAAAATCAAACATAAAAAATAAAGGTTATGATTTATTGTAAATGGTTCTTTATCTTTTTAAGCATATTTTTATAATTAATATACAACTTCAATAATAAAATTTAGCTTTAAAAAAATTCACTGATCATATTTACTGTATGTATTGTATTGCATGTGAAGCTATAAAATTATATAACTGGTATACGGAACAAAATTATAAATTTCTTTCAATATTTGATTTTGAAAATAAAAAACTATGTGTTATATACATTTATTTATTGTAATTATGATTTTTATATCTATATAAAATAATGTTTATCTGAATAAATCAGACTAGTGAATAGATTTATTGAAGTAAAATGATATGATTATTATATTGACAACAAAATTTCAAAAGATAATTGTGAATTGAATTGAATATATATAGATTTGGCTAAAATTTGTTCAAATTTTAGCCAAAAAAACATTAGATAATTATTAAAATAATTAAAAAAGTGTGATGAAAATAAAAATTTACATTGTAGATTTTAATTATTTTGACTCAATTAGCAACACATTTGATGAATATTAAAATGTGAATTAATAATTATGAGCATGTTTAATGTCACAATAAATACAATTAATTGCTTTTTCTGTCATATATACAATATATTTAACAAATACAGTTTTAGAGCCTTAA